GCCACTGCTCCCCTGGTCCCCCAGATTAAATGGAGAGATGGACCTCCAATATGGGTGGAGCTATGGCCACTCCCTTCTCACAAACTACAGGCTTTGAGAGATATTATCCAAGAACAACTTAGGTTGGGACACATTCGACCCTCTGTCAGCCCTTGGCACACGCCCGTTTTTGTAATAAAAAAGGCTTCAGGAAAATGGAGAATGCTCCAAGATCTTAGAGAGATAAACAAAAGGATGATTATTATGGGGACTCCTTTGCGGGGCCTACCTTGGACCCTGCCATCCCTAGCCACTTGCATCTCAAGGACTGCTTTTTTCCCCCATCCCTCTCCATCCACTTGATTGTGAAAGATTCGCCTTTTCGGTCCCATCTACCAACTTCCAAGGGCCTGACAAATGGTATGAATGGGTGGTATTGCCCCAAGGAATGGCCAATAGTCCTTCTTTTTGCCAAAATTATGTATTTCAATTGTTGCTGCCTATTAGGCAGCTTTTCAAAGTTACATTATATATATATATGATTTTGGGGGCCCCTACACCCAATCAGTTGGCCAACGTTTACAAAATTTTACAAGGTTGTTTGAGTAGGAGAAACCTTCACATTTCATCTGATAAAATTCAAGTTGTACCTCCTTTTAAATTCCTGGGGTCACAACTAACCCTGGAAGACACCAGCCGTTTAGAACCTCAGCTTTCTATTCAGGATGAGTACTCACTTCCTGAATTACAGGGTCTTTTAGGAGAAATTAATTGGTTTTGATCTTGGATCCCCATCCCCACAGGGGAATTAACTCCTTTATTTGAGTTATTAAAAGAAAAGTCTATAACAAGAAAAATTCCATTACAATTGTGCCATAAGCAAATATTAAACAAGGTGCAAAATTACTTAAACTGGGCCCAATTAGCCAGGTATTGTGTCACCATTCCTTTACAGTTATGGCTCCTGGCCAGCCAATCCACAATAATGGCAGTTTTGGTACAGGAAGGGCAGCCCCTCCAATGGATCCATATTTCTCTCGGGGGGCCTCCCCAAGTTTACACCCTTATTGATCAATTAGCTGATTTAATTATAAAAAGGAGAGACACCGCTATGCACTGTTACACCAAGGAAACAGTTAAAATAATAGTCCTCTATCAACTGTCTGATTTTACATGGCTTAACAGAAACAATGGTCGACTGGCGCTGGCATTAGAGGGGTTTTGGGGCCTTATTGACTGCCATTATGGAGCTCACAAGTGGGTATCATCATTCAACTGGTTAAATTGGGAGGCCCCGCATTTGTTTTCCAACCATCCTTCAACTGATGGATATAATATATTCACAGATGGGGGGAAAGCGGGAGCTGCAATTATAATTTATCAGCCTGAAACATTTCAACATAACCCCCCACCAAAAAGGAGTTTTCAACCTTGCTATGGATCTGCACAATATAAAGAATTATTGACAATTATGATGGCTTTAAAAGAAGTTCCAGACCCCATGAATTTGTTCTCTGATAGTTTATATGTTGTAAATTTATTGCCTGGGTTGCTCAATTCTCATATCCAATTGGACAACAACCCTATCACACCACAGGTCTGGTCCTATTTACAACAAAGATACCAACCTATTTACGTGCACCATTTAAGGGGGCACCAAGGGCTGCCCGGGTTCTTTTCTTCAGGAAATGCCCTGGCAGACAAAATATCTACGACAGGCACCAATGTTTACACCACACAGTGTGCATCTGATTTTCATGCCTTAACTCATGTTAACTGGAGAGGGCTTCAAGCGCGATTCCCACAAATCCCAGTTTCACAGTTAAAAAGAATTGTTCATACCTGTAAATCTCGCATCCCACATTTACAGGTACCACCTTTATAACCCCCCGGATGTAAACCCTAGGGGGCTCAAATCTAATGTTTTATGGCAAACCGATGTCACTCATTTTCTAGCATTTGGAAAATTAAAAATATATTTTCATGCCTATTGACACTTATTCTCATGCCTGTTGGGCTACAGCCCACACTGGGGAAAAGGCTAAACATGCACAAAGTCATTTACTA